GAGGCCATCGATTTTTAGAGGCAACTGATAGACAAATTTCGAGCATCGATCAGTTTCCAGTCGGTGGTAATCGAAGTTCGGTTTGCCGAGGTCACCGATCGAACAAGTCCTTTCAGTTGCGGTCGAGAACCGCCGATTTTTAGGGACCGCCGAATTTCGGTATTACTCGAAATTTGGCCTCGTTCGGTTTCAGTTGATCGCACCGAAATTTATCGCTCGCTTGCCACCGAACAAACAGTCTGTTTTGAGTGCGGTCGAGGCCCCGACCCAACCCTAGCTCCAAAACGTTTCGTGACTGTAAGCTTACTTTACCGTAGCAATGTTAATCCTTCCCAGTAAACAACGTACACTTAGGATCTCACTTTTAGTCTACGAAAACGGGATGTTCCATTATCAGCGTCGCGCTTAACCATATCGCAGATAGTGTTCCTGATTACGCTCCCTATCAATTTGTTCCAAGCCGGTTTATATCATAATTCAGCCCCCTCCCCCCCATCTCCAGTAAACACAAGTGAATGAGTCAANTATCAATTTGTTCCAAGCCGGTTTATATCATAATTCAACCCCCCCCCCATCTCCAGTAAACACAAGTGAATGAGTCAAGCATCCTCGGTCAAAATATTGAGGGAGACGAAGTTTCATTCAAATTAAATTCTGAAATTGTAGGCATACGGATATCACTATCTTTAAATGCACCGTACAACAAGGTTGGTAACTTCATAGGTGAGTTTCACTCTTTGTACGCAATCTCAACTTTATGTGAAAGTTTAAAAAATGATTGTGGAAGAAATTTCATTGAGTACGCAACGCAATGCGATCAAAACTTATATGAGGGCATGAACCAGTCCTCTCGCATGCTGAAACGATCTTTCCGATAGCCTCACTTCAATGAAAATGCATCTGCCCGCAAATCTTCATCAACAGTTTAATGGCCAATGGATTATCAAACTTCTAGGTAATATGAACATCCATAAACAACCTTGTAAACTGTACTGAATGCTTTGTATTGCTGTGGCTTGGGTCAATGATTCCGTCTGAAAACAGCATAGATCAGTCAATATTTGATCAACGAACAAATAACAACACTTAGCAATTTTCAGTTCAATTTCTAACGTTGAAATGTAATCAAAACTTTTGATGAAAAGATTCTTCCCTTACAGGTTGTACAGTTTTCTTCAAAGGACAATCAACGCCGTCTGCACATCGAAACTTTGTGGATGCTGAAAATCAAAGCAAAAAATTCTGTGAATAGAATCCACAAGGAACCAACAATAAGGAAACTCATTGGAATAGGGATTTCGTTGCGATAACATTGCGAAATGACAACCAAGAGAATCCCTCAAAATGGCCAGGTTTTAGGCAATTCTCAGCGACTTTATGGCTTCGTACCAGTTAATAAATAATCGTCTGAAACGAGAAGAAACCATGAGATCATTGAGAAGATCAAATAATTAAACTAATCAGATCCTTTGATGTTTTTGATAGTGAATTCACGATATTTGTCAATTTTCCACCTTGTTCCATCTTTGTTCCGTTACTTATATCGTTGGAATTCGCTGTTAGCAACATCTTATGTGGTGGCATGGGTTTCATTGGAATTCGCTCCGTCTTAGCTCCATCACCCTCAGCTTTGGAATGGGTCGGTGACAGCACCTCATCTAGTGGTCTTTCTCCCGAAATGTCCCGGCCTGCAAATCACCCGAATAGACAAGAAATTTTTCGAAACTACCCTTCAATTGTACCAGACTGCAAGTCGAATATGTGCTACTGAAGTCATTCAAATGTCTCTAGTTAGATAAATCCGCGGCTTCGGAACACTGCATTCGATTGGAACAATTGTTCTTCCGAAGAAGCAATTTTTATCGAAACAATTCTTATCATTCCAAATCGAAAAAATTACCGCACTCTCGCGGACTGATTCAGAAACAACCTGTTGATACTGTCTGGTGGTTGTTTTGTTCGAGTTCTGTATAACTGCACTGGTCTGGATGATCACTATTCGGTTCGAGCGTATAACTGAACGCTGTTGAATTCGGTGTCAGCGATTCACGGCTATTGAAAAGTAAGCAATAGCCAGACGAAGTTATTGAGAATCCAGGACAAAAAAGTGATGCACAGTGTTTTAGACATTCTTCGACAAGATAGGTGAAGTTGGTGGAGTTGATAGTGCTGAATGGTTGACCGATGATAAACGATGATCGATGGAGTACGTAATGCAATAAAATAAATGATGACGTGATATTCATTGCTTTCAACCGCCCAAGCTCACAGCTGAACGAACGCTTTGCTCTCTCTGAAACCTGATCGACTTCTCTTTGTGTTCGAAACTGTTCTCATACCTCGTCCAGAAATGTCAGCTCGCACAACGCGATATTCAAGTTTCGGTTCAAGGTGAGCGAACATCCTACCATATTAGACTGCTTGATACAATCGGCTCGCATAAATCCACGAGAATTTCAGGATTGTTCATCGGCCAGACTGTTCATCCATTCAGTTTGAACATTCAGCACTTTGAACAACGGGAAGATGTTTGAGTGTTCCTAGAGAATAATGCTCAAGTAAAACCTCTTAAAAGTTTCAGCAGATCTGCAAATAAGCGAGATTCCAACGACACGGGCGGGCACCTTTGCTCAGCGCTCTTCTCAAGAAGCCAAACAATTTATTGGTTCCCTAAGAAGTCTAAAATTCAGTATTGAGATATCAGAACTGCAACGGAACCAGCCGGGTGAAACGAAAACATGAAACACTAGTGCTGAACCGATGAGTGTTCATGGTAACAAGTACTGTGAAGTGATCGTTTTTGCCGAAAAGCAACGTCACGATAGAATGCGTTCAATTGAAAGGCACTTCAGATATCGGATGGAAAATGAACGATAGCGTTCACTAAGGACTCCAACTGTTATCAATAATTTTCATGTTCGTTCGAGATAAAACCTAGCAACTAAAAGGTAGCCAAAAAATTATTACAGCCCGTCTTCTGCTTTTAAATGTTTGAAAAAAATTTTAAATGAAACGAGCAGAGCATTCAAGCTATAGAGCCATGGTCATTACGATAAAATATGGTTACTTCTCAATTTTGCTTAAATGACGCTTTTAGTTCGATTTCTTGGTTTGCTTTTATGCTAACAATAAGATTGGAAATATGCTAGTAAAATTTTCGCAACAAAGAAGTCCAGATTCTGCATTCTGTTATCACTAACAATAGCAATGCTTCGTGGATCTCTTTATTCAGTACCCTAGGCTTTTTTGGTGTTTGCAAGGCCTGAGATCCCGTGCAAAAACTAAAAAGGCCTAAGCCTAAGTCTGGGCCTCAAGTCATTGCACCGCACTAAAACAGCAGCCAGTATGAACATGATCAATAATGTTCAATTACTTAACTGAGTTCATTGATTACTTATGTTACCTGGGTTCCCCGCGTGACCGCATCAAAAGGAAGGAACACCTCTCAGTGGATTCAGGAGGTTGTAATGCATCGCATAGCACGAGTTTTATATTACGCTCAAAAAGTGGTGAACACACGCTCGCATTGCTCAAGAGTCGAAACGGAACGAACTTTAGGTGACTAAATAGCTGAGGGCAACCTGTCAGCGAGTCGAATATCCTAGACCAGACCGAATCGACTGGCCGGGCCAACAACTCGATTTTCGGAACAAAAAGAGAAGGCGCTTCGTCACGACAAGACATCACACAAACAAATATTCCTGAATTCACACATGCGAATGTGTGAATTGTATATCTGTACCGTTATTATTGCGGCTTTTGCAGTAACTAAAATTAGAATTGATTTTGTCAGTGGACTCCTGGAAATTAATAAGAGGGGGGGGGGGGACATCGGGCAGATTGATGCTTTCGCAAAGACGTGTCTTATATGAACACTGAAACTTTTATTTGGCTGACCCTTCGATCACTTTCAATATTCCCGAAATTCATAGACTAATGATTGAGCGAGATTCCACAGGAACCAATTTGCGATCTTCATCGAACTTAAGAATATTTCACGAGCTGCACAGTGATACATAATATGCCCTCATCAGTGTGTGTATTTGGTAGTAAATTGCAGCACTGCAAGGGAATCAGTAGCGTGATTGTAGAATAGGTCGGTAAAATCATTTAACGGGGTTGGAGGCTTGATGATGGGTTAAAATGAATTGGATGTGTTAGTAGTATTGTGCAGTGTATCAGGGATTGTAAAATAGGTCAGTAAAATCATTTAACGGGGTTGGAGGCTTGATGATGGGTTAAAATGAATTGGATGTGTTAGAAAAAGTTCATCAACATCTTTTCCTTTTTTCTTGTTTTAACTGGTTACCCGTCGCTGTTTTTGTTGTCTGTTTTTTTAGCTTATTGTTAGCACTGTGATGAGTACATAACGGAGAGGCGTCCTCACTGCTCCAGTTCATGAGCTTGCTAATTCCAATCTTTGCATGTTTCGTTGTTGCTACAGTCATGTAAGGAATTGCAATGCGATGTCATTGTCCGAGAACAGCATATACACATTTTTGTTTCCATCTTTCCGTACAACAGTTATCACAGCAATTTTGAAGCGATGAGAAAATATATGTGAACTGTCCGAAATATAGAACAAATGAGCATTCAATGACTTGGAATAAGTGAACTATACATTTTAAGATATAAATAAGCAATCAGTGATATCGAACAAGAGAGCAATACATTATAAGAGATACATGAGCAATTAATGGTATCTAATATGTTAACAATATATTATAGCGGATTAATGAGCAATCAGTGATATCGAACAAGTGAGCAATATATGATAAGAAATGCAAGAGCATTCAATGATGAACGGTAAATGTGCATACGAACATGTGCACACGAGCTGAGCTGAAATTGAAACGGCAAATCGGAATATCCAAAGACGTGTTTTACGTGGTCGGAACTCATACAGGGTACGATCCACGTACAGCTACGAGGAAAGATGTGAATGGATCGCCACTGATATTACTGCGCCGCATGAAACCTTCTCGCCACGTGCCCCTTTGGTACTTCCTGTGGAAGTACTTCGATTCGTCTATTTCGACGATAATGGGATTACCATCAGGGTCAGTGCCACCAAGTTGTGGCGGGTTCAGCCTCACCCATTCTTCGCAGATATCCCTGCAAAACTGACCCCAATCGACGCCAGTGTGAGCACTGACTGCTGATATGCCCGCCTCGCGTACAATCCTTTGCAAAGGGTCGCCAAGGGACCATCCATAAATGTACGTCACCAACTGGTGCAGCTGCAGACGACTTTTGCTGAAAAACGACCCATTCCTGACTGATTCCGTTTTCCCGCAATTTCTGCAGACCCATTGGTACCCGTCAGTGCGAGCGGTTCTCACTTGTAGGTTACATGGGATCTGACAAACTGTGCACAGAGTGGAGTTTTTGAGGAGACCTCTCATAGCTAACCACTCCAATGTGACCTTGCTGTCGTGCATGGTCGCCCCGAGTGTCGCATAAGTCCAGTGCTCGTCCTGCATCTGCGCAGCTGTCATGATTGAAGTCAGTGGCACGATGCATGTCGGAGCTGAAAACGGAATAGTTTCCTTCAACGAAGTACTGATAATACCACGTCTTTAAGAGATCGTAGTTATAAACGTCAATGAGAAGCAGGAGGGGTAGTCTTTGTAAACCTTCCATGATCGTTGATACACGACAGCTGACTGATGGAATGTATAGCTGCACAATCAAAAATATGAGACAAAGCAATTTAGAACAAATTAGTTAAAGGCTGCTCGTGGTAATGAGGGATGAAAAGGATTACCTTGAGGTCGACCACGAGTTGCCATGTTCGCGCTGGTGAAAATATTAGAACTGTCGCGACGGAGCGCGAAAGAGAAGCGCGAGAGAGACGATTCGTAAGAGACACCAAAGTGATATGTGAAAACAACCTTAAATCTGTACTTAGCTGTGTATGTATAAGATGTACACAAATATCATGCGCTATCGAATCGGATGATGAAACTTGACATTCGTGTATCTCATTTGGAGGATCTCCTCCCTTTTCCGTTTGTATTATATGAATGCTTTGTGTTTCGATATATAATACAGTGTTAATACAAAATAAACGCCGAAAAGAACTGTGTAACCACAGATTCCATACTAACCACTGATTACAGAGGTGAAGTTTTATAATACGTAGGTGAAAAATGAGATTATAAAGTAGGTAATTACAAAGATTGTAAAGGAGGAAAGTAGTAGCAGAACGCAACTAATGCAACAGCACAACAGAAACAGCTTGGTGGCTTCCGTGTAGGCAAATTTTCTCGAGCGCCTCAATAATTCGTGAGAAAGTTTCTGAAAAAAAGTGAGGAAATGATGTTATATAGAGCGCGTGAGTGTTCGGGCACATTTTACATTGTGTATGTGTGTGTTAATGTATTCATTGAGATGAATAAATACATTCAAAAAACTCAAAGGAATCAGCACTTACATCGATTTCTGTTCACTGTACCCCATATACCCTATATAAGATGAGGCGAGAACGGCAAACCTTAAATCAAACGGCCCTTTTTATGGCCACCAAAATCAGAAACCAGAACTCATGTCATAATGTTCACCTTAGTGCATTCACCACGAGAAATAACGCAGATTAGTAGACGCGAAATGAAATTGTAGTACGACACAAATGAGAGAGAGGGCGAGACGAAATACAACTAATAGAGTAAGCTCGCGCATGCCATCGCACTACTCAATGATGAGGCACGCGCTATCGTAGAATGTCGCGATGCAAATTGTCCGAGTGGCATTTGTCGCGGAGCAAATTGTCGTAGAGCAAATTCCGTCACTTGGGTGTTGAAGTTCTCTCCGATATAAGCAAAGATATGCTATCGTCGATGATGGCTAATAGTTTTCAGATTTTAAATTTGCGGTCATGAATGCAACGATGTGATTTTTTCTGTTTTTCGCGATATTGCTGAAAAAAAGAATTACTTTTCATTCAGTTTTATGTGCAGCGATTTTTGTTATTTTAGTTGAAAATTTGTACTTCGTATGAGATATGCAGTTTGTTTCAGAGTGTCCACTGGTGAGATATTTTTGGATATCATCTAGAAATGACGTCCACAAATATGTCAAAAGTAAAAAAAAGTGGTCGTTCAATGGCTACAAAAGCACTGATTATTCAAGAGTATAAACGACGGCTTCGAGATAACATCAAGTCTTTGAATGATAACTTCATCAACATTTTGCAATCGGCCAAGGTAATTGCTTTTTTTTGGATTCTCTCTTCGTTTGCAATCACTAAAGAGTAGTGTTGTTTTTGTTGACGAAATATTGCCCATACAACAGCGATGTTCAACCTTTTGATTTTATGCCATTTCCGTTTGAAAAAATACCTCTAATTGCGCATATAATATTTTGTCAACCGAAACTACAATACTGTTTATTTTGCCTATTACCAACGTGCGCCTCATAAATGAGGAAAGCTTCCAACAGTTAACAAAGACTGGAATTTCAAGTCGTTCGTTGATTCGAGTAGTTTTGTTCTTAAATAATTTGACTTATACGGCTAGATGAAATCGTTGCTGATTGCAGTATTTTTGGTTTTTAAGCAGTAATTTGATAGTGCAATATGTTCAATAGGTCAATGTGGACGATGCAGCTCATAGAAATCCGGTGGGACGAATGACAGAATACTATACGCTCAAAAATGAAATGGCTGCACGTGCTGCACTCATGGTGTGTTTCCATTCCGTATTTTATCTCATGCATGGCCACTAGTGCCTCAGTAATTGGTCCATTGAGTATTTGTTACCAAAGCTAGGTTCTGATTCAAGATTTGGTCACTGATAAAGCGCTGAAGCAGTGTGGATATTCATTCTATGCCTTACGAAATCAAGTCTGAAAAGTTGAAACATTATTGTAGTTGTAGTATTTCATTGCAGGTTCGAGCAGCCGATGAACTACTGAAGCTGACACATGATCTGAAGGAGTTCTTGATCCTTCACGATTTTAATTTCCTAAGTTCTGCGATTGAAAGGTAAGTTTTTTCATTGTTGATTGTTCAGTTGAGTAAATTTTATGTGTTTGTACCTGCAGATTATGTATTGCGGAATATTTTTGTTATAAAAATGCTGAATTTTTCTTCGAAATCTGGTCGAAAGTAGGCAAATGCCCGATATTTCTCAATTAAAAAGTTGATCTCCAATAAAATGCCGCAACTTTTCAGTGCTGAAGGTAGAGCCGATTTGAAGATGAAAGATTATGTGAGCAAATATGATAATTTACGTTTGGATACGGCTTCAGTGATAAACGATATTGATAAAGAGCTCAATGAACATTTCTCGTTGAGGCAGTGATGATATTTTGCTCATCGTCTATTTTTCCTCATTCTTGAATATTGTTGTAATCTTCTGTCAATACCAGTGTTGCCAAGTTTTTCAAATTCTGCACTCAACAGATTTCAATTATGCTGTTTCAACTTTACTGTGAGGTTGTAGCTTTCGTTTTTGAATCGCAAAATTTTCAGTTGATTTCGTCCACAGCAGTTTAGTGTTCGATATTTGCGATGAATTCCGTTGAGAAATTCTCACTTAGTTCAACCACTGGCAATTTTACTCTTCAAAACAAATTTCTCAAACACTGGAACTGTTTGTAATCTGATTTCAAATCTATACATTTGGATATTCATTGATAGGCCTTCGTGCATTCATCTCACGAACGAAGTAATGGGATACGTATCAATTACGTCCGTTGTTACTATCATATCCTGTGTAGTACTGATGAATTTTCTATTTTCACATTTCTGTTTTGTTTTTGAATACGGGTTCTAAATCACAATTTGACCTACTAATGCAATTTGTGTTCACCGTGTCACGTGATTAGACGTTATATAAACTCATCATGTCCTTATTGTGCATACATTATTGTGGTTGTTATCGGCATAGATTTGAATAAAGAATGCCTTTGTACAGTAGAAATTATTGAGCGCTGCTATTGCAGCTTCTCCGTTCTCATCGGATCACAATATGAATGTATCAAATTGATAGTTACGCGAACCATGGAATGCTGCTTCACGAAATCCGATCCTCATTAGTGAACAGTAAGTGCAATCAACTGAGCGCCTCCGGGAATGCAGACGCAGTTCCCGACTGTATGACAACATTCGTAATTTTATTTCTATGTCACGTCGTACTGTCCTTCGCAAAGGACTTCGCAAAGGATCGTAAAGGAATGTTACGATTGAACAGACGTACCTCATAATACCATTTCAGCCAGCATGGAACGAATCAAGATCGTTTTGAATCGCATGTTGAAGCAGTGCCTTCCGAAACAGTGATTCACATTTTCAGTTGATTGGATTTTTCCAATGAATACTGTCGATTTCGAATTCTGTATAGTGGATTAATGTGCGAATATTTGTGAAATTTCGAAGCCGGAGTGGAATTCGCTGGTGTATCTTGAAGAGGGCAACAGCGGCCATAATGTCCGAGCCGTATCGTGATCCATGGCTCGACTACAAAGCGATTCTCGATTCAATGAAGAAAAAATTCCTGAAAAAACCAAACTATTCACAAGCTTTAGCTGATTTCAATAAGTTGGCGCTTCGATTTAAGTAAGTTTGCGCGGATTAATTGGATTTTACTCGTTGCATTCAGTTCAGTTTGCATACGGAATTGTTGCTTGAAGATTTACCATAAATAGAGTACTGATAAACACTGAAAATCCTGGTTTTGATTTCAGTTATAAAAGTGATCTATGTATGGTTTTTGTGTTTGAGTAAACGATTCAGTGAGAGTGG